GTTTTTGTGGAAGCTTAGGATTCCTCCCAAGTTGCATATTTTCTTTTGGCTTGTTATTCAAGGGAAAATTCTTTCTAATGAACAAAGAGCTAGAAGACATCTATCCTTGGATGCTTCTTGTGGTTCGTGTCATTGGCCTATGGAGTTTATTCGTCATATTCTTCGTGATTGTGTTAAGGCTAAGAAGGTGTGGAATGCTCTTCTCAATTCTAGTCAAAGTGCTGTATTTTTTATTATGGACTTTCAACCTTGGCTTAGAGTAAATTTGATGTCAAAGATTGTTTGGGCTGATGGTATTCCCTGGAATTTGGTCTTTGTTTTCACATGTTGGTACATATGGAAATGGAGGAATTATTATGTGTTTCATGGTGATGAAGAGTTGGCTTTTGACTCCATACAGATTATTACTGCTGCTATGAGGGAATGGCTTAAGCTTCTAATGTTCCTTCTATCAAGTGTGCTAAGGTTGAGGCTTGGTTTGCTTGGGAGCCTCCTCCTGCTGGGTTCTTTAAACTGAATGTTGATGGCTCTAGGAAAGTTGCTTCTGGCCATATTGGTGCTGGAGGTGTGTTGCGTGATGGTTCTGGTGATTGGTGTAGTGGGTTTGCAGTTAATTTGGGAAAAGGGCAGATTCTAGAGGCTGAATTATGGGGCTTGTTCTTTGGTTTGAGGATGGTTGTTGCGAAAGGGTTTAATAACCTTATCGTTGAGATGGATTTGGCTGTTGCTATCCAGCTTGTTCAGCAGCATGATTCTCTTACTTTGCACCCTCTTGCATCTTTGGTCTCTAGTTGTTGGCAGTTAATGCAGCAGCTTGAGAATTTCAGCCTCCATCATATTTTTAGGGAGAAAAATAGTGTTGCAGATCGACTGGCTGCTTGGAGTTATAATTTAGATCTTGGTATATGCGTTTTTTATGAGGCTCCAAGTTGGGTTGGGACTTATTTGGTGGATGATTTGTTAGGGGTGTCTAGGCCCCGTTTGATCTGTGTTGTTTATTTTGTTCTGTTTGTTTGGGGTTTTCCCCCCCCAGTTCACCCAAAAAAAAAAACGTTGTTATTTTACCAATGTTTAGAGCATCCACAGTAGGGGGTGTATATGGGGGTGTATGTTAAATATACACTCCGAGTCACCGGAATCATCTCCAATGGGGAGATGTAAATGGATGTAAATATACATCACCACTATGGGGATGTAAAATAAAATGTATATTTACATCTATTTTTACATCCCTTGCAGGCGGGACCCACTCGAGAAAAGAGAAGAAAAATGAAGAAAAGTCAACATAAAAGGCTGGGACCCACGGGCCACGGCTACACCCCCGAATTTACACCCCCCACTGGAGCAAAAAACATATTTACACCCCCCGGAGGTGTAAAGGGGATGTAAAAGTGGCTTTACACCCCCAAATTTACATCCCCCCACTGTGGATGCTCTTATCATTCCGAAGATAAAGCCACGGTTTTCCTTTTTTCTAATGAACATCGTAGCACAAGACTCTCAATACGATCAAGGAAATTTACATGTGGCGCCAAAACAATTTGCACAGAAAAGAGATTCAAAGAAGAAACTAGGAAATCCTCGAGAAAGAGCTTAAGGGTCAAGGTGAAGAAAAAAAAAAGGAAACATGAAAGGACAAATGTTTTCCACCAAAAAAGTGACGAAATTTCAAGGAAAACTTCCGTGGTTTGGGATGTGTTATTTTTCTTCATCTTTTTCTTTTGAGAACATTTTTGCTCACCACTTTAACCCGAAGTGTACATTCATCATCATCCTCAATATTTGACACGTATCTATTGACATAACTATAGTTTCATAAATACAAAGTAAAAAGTTAACAATGATTATGCCAATATACAAGTGTCAAGTATTGAGAATGATGGTAAGAATAAATCTTAATTAAAGTCGTGAGCGAAATTATTTCCTTTTCTTTTTACACCGCGATCGAGTGCAAGCATAATAAAGAATGATGCTTAGCATTGAGCTCTCCTTTTTTTTTATTTATTGATTTGTCACATTGCAAAATCGAAGGAATCCGACATGGGAGGGTCTTGTCTTGTCTATGTTTGCTTACCCAAGTCAATTCACCCGAAAGTTCATATGAGAGAGAGAGAGAGAGAGAGAGAGAGAGAGAGAGAGGCCAAGAAAAGTATGAATGTGTACCAAACTCCATACTTTGATACGTAGTCAGTATTCGTATTATATGTGAATAATAGATTTCAAAAATATTATTAAAGATTTATTTGGATGAAGTAATTTCTAACTTCAGAAATTCAGATGACTTTATAAAGTTAAATTGTTTGTTTCGACTATTACAATTCATGTATCCCAATTGTCTAGTTGCATTATTACTTATATTATTAATGTTTCACCTTTTAAGCTCTCTACTTTTTAATGATTAATAATACATTTTTTTTTATAACTTTAATTCACTAATGAAACCATGAAAGAAAGAAAACTCTGTTCACTAATGAAACCACGAACAAATCAATACAGAAACAAACAATCAATGATGAAACATTGATGTACACTGTAAATATAAGTTCATCAACCAAATTCTCTAATCATCATCATAGCAAACCAAAGTAAACTCTCCAGAGAAAAAAACATATATATTTAGTGGTGATGCCAAAACCAAAGCATATCCTATAAACTAGACAAACAAGATGAACTAAAAAAAAGAGATATTATGATGCGAAGCACTTAATGTGAAAGTTTTTGTACAACACCAATGCATTGCTTGTTTTTCCTCATCAGAGCTACCACTTCCACTATCAATTGGGCCTGCCTCGTCATCGTATTCATATACTGCTGGCTTCGGGATTTTCAGTATTCGGCTGAATTCTTCCAAATCTCTCTTGTACACCAAACGAGCCCCACATTTCTTTATAATCGAGCTTGTTTTCAGTTCTTTGTCCGATCCATTTAAAAAATAATGTGTTTCGAATGAAAACTGATGACTGCTTGAGGCATCCCAGATATGATAGCGAGGCAAATAAAAAACCCAAAGGTGTTGTGACACAAGATGCCCCACTTTGAAAGTGTCATGCGTAAACCCAAATTCAATTTTGAAAAAATCATATCCAACAAGGGCGGCCGGATTTTCCAAATATTTAGAATCTTCAAAAACAACACATAAAGCAATCCCAATCCAGTCGCTACATGGTTGTGGAGGTAGAGGTAGCTCCACAGTTATTGAATCTCCCGCGCTTCGATTGTTGAACCACTCTGGAATTTCACTTCCAGGCCATAAAATAAAGGTATAATGAACATTCTTCATTATATCCATTCCCTTCATTGTACCGCTTCCATGTACCCCAATAATTAACGATGTATTTGTTGTAGTAAAATCAGACCATGATACATATCGTTGCGAAAAGGGACAGAGAGGGAGAGGGCGTACCTCAGGGGCCAATCTCATTATCATTGCAAATATTCTATTAATCCAGCCTTCTTCTTCAACCAATCTGAAGCAATTAAGACAAGTAAACATAAAATCATACACATTGGCTCCTTCGCTCAACTTTGATGGATCTGACAACCTTTTTAAGGAAGTACAGTCGTCCACATCTACGAGTAATAAGTATTCACTTGACGGAAGATCTGGCAATTGCTCAAGCCTTTTGCACCTCTCCAATTGAAGATACTGAAGCTCAGAAAGGAATCTAATGCTTGAGGGAAGGCTAACGAAATTGTTTCCACTAAGATACAACACTTCTAAAGAAGACAAGCAGCCGATATCATCTGGAATGGCTCCTTCACCAATATTACAATCACTCAGATCTAATTTCGTCAAAGACCCTAAACGATTTAGAGAAGACAACACCAAACCCCAAGGCTCAGAGTCAGGATTCTTTCTAATTCCAAATATGCGGTCAACGCCCCACCCAATGCCATCCCTTGAAGTTGATGATTTAGCAACTGATCCAACAAAGGTTAGATGTTTGAGCTTTTTCATAGCAACAAGCGGCTCTCTCATCCCAGTTCCACTTAAACTAAGAAGCTTTAAACACTCCATCTCCCCAGGCAGTTTGTCAACTTTTGAGCATCCCAGCATAGAGAGCTCTTCAAGAGACTTCAATTTACATATCGCACTCGGGAGACCCAAGATACTTTTGCAATAATCTATACTTAGATAAACAAGGCCAACCAGACGATCAATTGATGAAGGTATTTGCTCGATAGCAGTCCCATCTAGAAAAAGCTTTGACAATTTCTTCATATATTCCCCAAATTCTGGAATCTTTTTCACTTTTGAGCAGCCTGAAAGATTCAAAAATTCGAGAGAATCCATTTGCAACTCACTTGGGAGACTCTTAATACTTTTACATTCTCTAAGTCTTAAAACCTTCAGCTTTTTGTGAACTGCAATAGACGGGTGAACCTTGCCTAATTTCTTACAACCTTCCAGATTCAATTCCTCAAGATTTGGAATGCGTGTGAAATTTGGGATATTGGTCAAGTTATCAGAGTAACTAATATCCATAGATTTCAACTTGGGGAAATTCTGCACAGTACATAAAAGTTGTATAAGTTTCCAAAAACCTATCAAGTTAAAAAAAGGTACAATCATATTGAAAATATTTATAAAAGAAAAAAAGTACAAAATGTCATATTTCAATAATCTCACCTTTTCTCCATCCCAAAGCCGAAAAAGTTTGCTATAACGCATCTCGAGTTTAGCAAGAAAACATGGTTGAAATCCTTGAGGGAGTGATTTGGAAGGATACCAGTTCCAATGGATAATTCTTAATGAATTTGGAAGAACTTTGGGGCATGAAGAAATGATCACATTATCAAATTCAAGAAGCCTTAATTGGTGCATCTTAGAGAAGGCTTCAGTACAATTCCAGTCAACCAGTTCTGATTCGGCCAGACGTAAGACTATGCCTTCAATTGCTGCCGTTTCCTAATAATAAAGAAGAAAAAACAAAGGAATCATTAATTCCACATTCAAGTCTAATATCTTGTTAAAATAAATGACATATATCTTCTTCAAAACTTAGTATTTCTAAGTAACTTCTTACCGAATTGTGCATGAATACATGAGAAATGTCATTGCGAAGCCACAAACGGCTGCGTTGACAAGGATCTCCAGGGGACTCTAGATGAACAATTTCCCATGCCATTTCTTGTATCAAATCATGCATCTGAACACTGTTAGGAATGTTGGATTTCTCAATAGTTAAGAGAGATTTCTCAATGAGAATATCTATCCTAATACGACTTGAAATATTATAAATACTGTCTAGTATTTCAATTACTTGCTCTTCACCCTTCCCTTTATGGAAACATGCAACATCGAGAAAAAATTTCTTGTCTATCTCTTCTAGTCCGTCATAACTTACTTTGAGTGAGTGAAAAATTGTTGGATTATGAATTTTCCCTAGATTATCCAATGCACTTTTCCATGTATCTTGACCTCTCGCATACAAAAAAGATCCCAATGTTGTCAAGGCTAATGGAAGACCTTTGGCATAATGTACGAAACACTTAGAAAGTTCCAGAAAAGCTTCCTCGGGCTGATTTTTCTTAAAGGCATTTCGACTAAAGAGCTCAAGAGCTTCATCATCCTTTAATACCTCGACCTTATATCGTCTTGTTATACCATGCTCAACTAGTAGACGCTCATCCCTAGTTGTGATGATAATTCTACTCCCCACACCAAACCAATCTTTCTTTCCAGCCAGTGTTTTAAGTTGGTTTAATTGATGCACGTCATCAAGGATGAGAAGAACCTTTTTATTGCATAAACGTTTCTGAGTGAAAAAGGTTCCAGCTCCTTCATCCCAAACATGGGCAACATTTTCTTTCAAGACTGGGGAAAGAAGTCGTCTTTGTAGAGCAACTAGACCACCGTGTTTTCCAGAAACCTCTCTCACATTAGATAGAAACCAGCTAAGTTCAAAATGATGGGAAATTCTCTCGAAAACTAGCTTAGCAAGGGTTGTTTTTCCTAACCCACCCATCCCCCATATCCCTATAAAGCGAACATCATTTACCTCTAGATCTAATTGCAAACGTAGTTGCTCGAGTGCAAAATCAATTCCGACTAACTTCTCTTCGGAATCTAACAACGTGAACGTAGGATTCACTTTCGTCCACACACATTCTACAATGTCTTTGATAAGCTCTCTGTCACACCTACAAGGAAGAGAAGTAAACTAATCATCAGGATGGTGCATGCATATTACATAATACATATCATTAACAAAGTTGTTGCAGAAAAGCAAGAACTAAAAAGTAGCATCCAAGTAAAAATCTCTTAATTGGTTTATGACATGGGCAAGTTGTTCATGCATGCATGCTTACTTATAATTCTTTGAATCCCACCCGCAAAGATTGGTAACTTTTCTTAAAGCAGCTCTCCAACGGTTCACCTTGTCTACATCTTCATTGAACTTCTCTTCATGCTTGGTGAAGGCTTCCTC